GCTCTTTGAGCCTATAAAGGCTCTGTTTTATCTTTTGTAAACTTGCGTCACTTTCTCTTTTGTATAAACATTGTCATGGTCGATGCACAAACGAGCTATCATCGTTTGTTCCATCAACCAAAACTCAATCTTGCGTGACTAGTTGTTTAGCAAAGTCGCATCCTTTATTTGTAACTGTACTTTAATGTGCAAAAAGCTTTTATCTAGTTTTTTTTTTTTTATCTAGTTTTTTCTTCAAACATAAAATCTTTTTAACAGAAATTGAAGTATATTATAGCAGTACAAAAAATATAGAAAGAATTATAAAAGACAACGATTTTACATTGATTAATAAAAATTAATTTTTTAAAGAAAAAAAAATTAAACATTATAATTGCAAACCAAAAATTGATTGCCTTATGAAATAAAAATGCTTATCAACAAATATAATTATACATGTATTATTTATTCACAAAGTAACTCTGATAAATTGGCTAAACCGAATGCGATTGGAAAAAACCTTACACCAATAATGAACAATCTTTTCGTCGCCTCAGAGAAAAAATGTTCTAACTACAAAATTTGCATTTTTCAGGGCAATGAAAACAAACTTAGTTTAGATATCACAAATCAAAATTTTGCTACTTATAATAAAATGATTTTCTCAGAAATTTATAATAATTCAACACTTTATATTTATTTCAAAATATTTCCTTTAAATTAATACGGATAGTATTTTATCTACACGTTCATCTCAATTTTTCAAAACTTGTAGATAGAACATTTTTGCTCTGAGGCGACGTTTTAAACATACAAAATTCTTATGAGAAAAAATATAATTGGCAATCAAAGGTAAATAATATTAATTTTAAATTTAACTGGTCTATTCTAAAAACTGCACCTGCAATTAATAATATTTCCAAAAAATGTATGCTATGTTTGAAAAATTTGAAACTATTACCCACTTGGATCAAGAAAGTTTACTAAACAAAAAATCTAAATTAATTTCTAATTTAGATTTTCTGTTTAATAAAAAATTATAAAAAAAAATAACCAAGCTAAAATTGTTCTAATTCTAAAGAATTCTTTTTCACATCTAATTTAAAAAAAATAATATAGCTAATGTAACTTTCTTTTTGCAATATAACTACAGTTTTTATAAAATTAGCTATAACAATTTCCAACTTCTTTTGAAATATTTTTTATATAACTTGAATATTTTGATATTTAAACATTCTTTCTGATAAATCTACAGAAGGTGAACCAGACTGTAAAAGAAATTTAAGTAATTAGTTTTATTTTTGCTCTGGTCTTTAAGAACATCAAGCACTCTTGTTGCAAAAAACACTAACTTAACTTAAACGCTAACTATATATATATATATATATATATATATATATATATATATATATATATATATATATATATATATATATATATATATATATATATATATATATATATATATATATATATATATATATATATATATATATATATATATATATATATATATGTATATATATATATATATATATATATTAATATATGTATTGCTGTATATGTATATTATATTTATCGAGAGACACATTGGGCTGAGATTACGTATAGAAAGATGTCTTAAACGTAAAAAGTTGGAGGTATCTTAAATATAAAAACTTTCTTCAGAGATAGAAACTCATAGAAAGTTTTTTCGTCAACAAAGATTTAATTACAGAGAAGTATTTTTGTACATTTTTATTGACAATATTGGCTAAAGTTAGCAAAATCTTAAGTAAAAGAAATCAAAAATACTCAAACATTTAGCTTTTATATTGATTTATTAATTGGCTTTTTGTAGAACAGACAATTCAAAAATTAATTTCATACGTGAAAGCACATATGAAGAAAAACGTTACATCAACACATTTCTAGTGAAGTCTGATTACGACTAACAAAGTCACAAAAAAAATATTACAATGAAATTTTAGCCAAATTATTTACTTTATTAAAACAAGATGGAGTTGAGACAACCCGGTGGGAAATGAGCAAGCGACTAGCTAGTTTCATAGCAATTTTCAAGCGATTTTTTTTTTCTCATTTTGTTTTTTTGCAAATGTCTTTAAAATCTTTAAAAATTTGATTTTTAGTGTTGAGTCTATTATAATTATGAAAATAATTGAATTTTAAACATTGCGATTTTGTAGCAATTTATCGCTAGCTACAAATAGTAGTTCTTCTAACGATTCACTTTCTCTTCTTGACAAGGTCCAAAAACGCATTGTAAATGTTGTTGGACCTGGACTATCTGCAAAGCTTGAACCTCTTTCCCATCGTCGTAAAGTTGCATCTCTTTCTCTTTTCTACAAATACTATCATGGTCACTGCTCAAAGGAGTTATCATCTCTAGTTCCATCAACTAAAATTCATTCTCGTTTTACTCGTCATTCAGCTAAGTCTCATTCGTTTACTGTATCTGTCCCTGCATGCTCTAAAAACTTTTATTCATCTAGTTTTTTTCCCCGCACTTCAATCCTTTGGAACTCTCTCCCATCTTCATGTTTTCCTGACTCATACAACCTTCAACTTTTCAAGTCTTCTGTCAACCGTTTCCTTGCTCTATAACTCTGTTCTTTTTTTTTTCCTAGTAACTCCCAACTTAATAGTGGCTGCTTGCAGCCTTGTTGGGAGTGAATGCAAATAAAATAAAAAAAAAAAAAAAAAAAAAAAAAGTAGCTTTGTAGCTAGCTACAAAATATCTACAAATCTATAGCTGGTTGATAGCTACATATCAAAATTTTTTAGACAACGAATCTATTACGATATGACTCTAGGTACAATAGCCAGTGGATCTTTAGCTTATAAAACTAGCTGTCCTCTTAGCCAAATTGCTGTCTTTATCCTTAAAAATATCGATAGCTTTTCGCTAACTTAAAAAAGCTAGCGATCCTCGT